ATAAAATAAAGTATTCAAGTCTAAGTTCAAGTATACTAAATTAATAATAGAATAAATAGTATAAAATCAGAAGCTGAATCAAATGACAAAAAAAGCGAGGTAAAATTTCGAAATGGATAATAATATAATATAAGATCTTTAATCATAGGCGTTTTGCTTATTTCGACACCGGGAGCACTAATGCTCTATTGTTGACAGCTGTTTTATAGTGTCATTTTTAAAGTCACTGCAGGACGCTATTAAACATAGGTCGTTGTCACGGCTGAAGACCTTAAGCCGTGGTCGTTGTGCAACCTGTATATCTTAAATCGTGGTTCAACTCGACTTCGTCCGTGGTCGTGTTTCCCATAGATAATATATAATACCTATGTGTTCCCTGGATYTTGGTTCAATGATTTTTTGAGGTTAGACTTCTACCGCAGTAACTTTGGTTATTGACAATAACATTTTGTAAACGCACTCCTTATTCCTTAACCTATTCTGTCCCAAACTCTGAACAAATCTGCCATTTGGTTTACGTCGCACGTGAAAAGATCGTTCGCGTTACTTTTCATATTAATTTTCCATTTTAGTTTTTCCCAACTAAAATGGCACCCAAACATGGTTTGTTCAACAAGGTATGTATTGTATTCTGTAATTAACATTAAGTTACGTGTACATTCTTAAATGTTCATTTTCAGTTTTTCGCTGTTTTGTGGTTATCTTTTGCTCATTTATTTGAGTAATATTTAGTTAGATGATTTTATATTTTTCGCTATTTATATCATTTTGTGTGATGAAATATACTCCCGGACCCCAGAAGTATTTTGTTGATTTTTTTTAAATATATTATTATTCCAAACATCTAAGTGAAACATGCTTCATCACATCAAACTTATTTTTCAGTTACTAAAATTTTATTGTTCATTGTTTTTTAGCGTATTTACATAGACGCTAAAGAACACTTGCTTGGTAAGTTGGCTTCATACGTAGCCAAAGCAATCCTGCAAGGTAATAAAGTTGTGGTTTTCAACTGTGACAAAATCAACATTGCTGGTAGTTTTTACAGGTTTGTAAATTCGTTTAAACTTGTTTTTGTGTTTATACCTATTAGCTATTATCTAATTTAATGTTTTATATAGGAACAAGATTAAGTACTTGTCATTCTTGAGAAAGAGATGTAATGTTAACCCAGCTCGTGGACCTTTCCATCACCGTGCTCCTAGATGTATATTCAGAAGAACTGTCCGTGGTATGTTTTTTTTTTAAATTCTATTTAAGAAATACTGTATTCTTAATATTTAACTCTTAAGAATAAAGCATCCTAACACTTAAATTAACATAATTTATATAAGTTAGATAATATAATTTTAAAAACCAGTGTGAAATAATTTAAATCTATAACAGCTTTTAATTATTTAATTTTAACTATTTATGAAAACACATTCAACGCTAGTAATGTGTCATTGCTAATTGTTATGTGTAATGCCAGTTAAAATACCTGAATAATTATTAACAACTTTTTTTATCTTAATTTCCATTGTCAACCTTAAATTTTTAGTGATTCACATTATAAGATAAATTTATTAAATGGCATTAAAATATAAGATAAATGAATCAGAATGCGTAAACACATCACTAGCATTGTATGTGTTGATTACTATGTTAAGTACCCACCTATCTCTTTTATGATTTCAAAACAATATCCTTACTTACATTATTTGAGACGTGGTCTTTGAAAATAATATATTTATGAAAAGAGATTTTATTTATTCTTAAAGAAGATAATAGGCCACAGTTATCATGTTCATGATATTAGCACATAAATAATGTAAATACAGAATAAAGTCATTGTATGTAATAACAACACATTCAGTTAATAGGATAAAAATGTTTTCTATGATTAACAATAAACCTTACTTACATTATTTGAAATTGATTGATTGATAAAAAATGAATTTAGTATGAGAAACATAATCCTTTTAAATGCAATGTAAATATTACACATTGACAACTAGTTATACTCTTTTATGATTATTAAACAATTCCTTACTTACATTAATTGAAATGAAAACTATGAAAACAACATAAATATGAAAAGAGTTGTAACTTATTTTAACATTGTGTTATAACAGTGCTTGGATCTCAATACATTGCTACAAATGTGTTTGAAGTAYTCCATTTTTTGTAATCATGAAATCATTTAAAGATATCTAATAATTTCAATACATTGTTTAAGATCTTATTTACCTATTTAGTGATAATAATATTAATACAATTATAAGTGTTAATAATAAACTGTTTAAGAAATAAATACTGGGATAGTAAAAAAAAAATCGATACGTCATATATTATATTGAATCAATAATACCTACGTTTTACTATAATGGTTTATTTTTACCAAATCTGTTTGCCTAGTGCTCTAAACATGGCATTTTTAAATAATATTCTTCTTCTATGATTATTACYATTTTTACCTTACCTACATTAATTGAGGTATTAACATATTCTATGAAATATTTTATAAATGAGAAGATGATTATATTTATTTAGCAATAATAATTGCTTAATTTTTATTCATAATATAATTGAAAACAGCGTCTTAATGATCATACTAAATAAAGCATCGCTATAAATAGTTGTAGTAATTGGTCAAACAATTTTGCATAGCAATATTAAATCATTGTTTATTTGATTGATAAATATATTGTGTACTTCCAAACTACGCATTTTTTTTTTTATTGCTATTGAAGTTTTTAACTGATACATTAAGTCTTTACAATGATACTACAATTCTAAAATAAAAAATAAAAAAACACTCAAAATTGAAAATATCAATGTCTATATTCTCAAAAACAAATATTTTGATTCTCTATTGACTTAAAACCTCCACTAYAAGTAAATAAATTAACTGTTTTTCACGTGATAAAAGACTATGTGTGCAACACTGGCCATTACTTAGGTTTTAATAATATTTGTTAGTTATACTCATTGTATAATTTTATTAAAAATTATGTAGATTATTGTTAATATTCTGGTTGTAAATGCTTCTAGTTATAATTGATGGCTGGTTGAAAACATTGAAGTACATAGTTATATGTACAAAAAAAATTGATTGGTTATTTTTGCCATATATATGTTACCGGAAATGATGACAATTCCTAATAGCGGAAGGAAATGATATCATTGCCTAGTTAATGTTATCATTTCCAAACGATATCAGGCAAAGTTGCAAAATATATATTTTTATTAGATATTTTAATTTAATCTGTCACAATTATTAATTACMCTGCTATTACACTAATAAATAATCAATGATCAATAATTAATAAAAAATTAAATATATGTTTTTTTTAATGATTTTATTAAATTCACTTCGCATTTTATTCAAATCCATTTTAACATAATAATACATACTGCACTAAGAAGATAGGCACATAATACTAAGCGGACCATGTTGTATGGACATGTAGAGACACTTCTAATAAAACACGTAAATGGTATGTTAAACATATGCGCGATACCTATGTGATAGCCATAACATTATCCAATCAACCACTTAAACGATATCAGTCATTACACCCACCTGATATTTTTTTATAGAACAGACAATATTGACAGTAATTGCAAGTATAGTGGTTTTTAGCATCTCACCGTTCCGAGTTAGTTAATAGTTATCGTTATAATAGCTTTACATTGTAAAGTCACATGACCTGCTACATCATAATCGCCAATGCTTTCGTGTAAGAACCGATACGTGATAACTAGGGCTCGAATGTTTATGCACTTAAAACTACTCTAATATAAATAAATAAAATTATAAAATATGTATTTTTTAGCCAATAAAAACACAAAAATATGTAAAATAAAAATAGTATTATTTGATTCA